AGGTTAGTTTACCACCAGTTAGAAAAGTCCGTTGTGTATGCATATGTAGGTGTTGCTGTCCCTTTGTCTATCTAATTATCTGTCTGTCACGATATGCATGTCCATCCACCTATCCATCATCTCTGCCTTATATCACATACCCTCCAACATTTCACAGGTGAGAGCTGGGGAACATGTGGCCAAACTACACTGGAGTGTGTCAAGATGGCAAAGGTAATTAATAAGGAAGAAACACAAGTTAAGAGAGCTACCATAGTTTGCTTTTCCTCGAGTTTGAAGGGAAGGGCAAGATTTTTCTCCTTCCTCTCCTTTCCCCACCCTACTAAATTAATATTTTATACTGTGATCTCAATTTGCAGCAACTGAAGTAAACTATGGATGGGGGGTAAGGGAAGTGGGAGGAAGAGAGAGAAACTGGGACATTTTTATAGCAGTTGAAAAAGTTAGATGACAGAGAATTAAATGGGAGTATCCCTGCCAAACTGAGACAGTTGAGGGGGATGGTTAAGATATCAAGCCCGGTATTGTTTACTCTGACTGATATAGGTTTTCCCTTCACCCCAGACTTTTCAGTGAAGTCCTGTACATGCAATTCAAACATTGCACTAGATTAGATTCAGAGTAAATGAGCTGAGTTTATGTCCCATGAAATCAATGGCAAAAAAGTTAGTCATGGCTTAAGCCTCATTATTTTAAATGGGTCCAATGCCTTAGGGCTTGTCTACACTGGCCAGAATATTTTGGGCTGTTCCTGGGAGCATCAGGCTCAGGAAAGTGAAGTGAAGTCAATAATTTCCTAGAAAAGTAAAAGGTTGAGGAGGAACCTGAACATATGAGAAACTTAGCACCATAGAGACTATATTTTAGAAGTTTTGGGAGAGAACTCCAAACATAGCAGAAAACATAAGAGGAGGGGGCTAGCATTTAGATGAAAAGAAAACATTGGTCATAAATGAAGGCGATGAATTAGGAAAGCTGAATATCATAGCATTAAACTGAAATCCAATTAAAATGAGATTACTGAAGTGTCACAGCAAAACAATAAAACAGAGAGAGAGAGAGAGAGAGAGAGAGCAGATTCCAAATCCTACCTGCAGAGTATTTGCTTCTGAATAACTTCGTTAAAAGATAGGATTTTGAGAAGGTTGTGAAGGTAGTACATTTCCTCCAGGAGTTAATTCCACACCCTTGGGGAAGCCCCTAAACAGGCCCTGTAGTTCAACATACCACTTTGGATATCTCAGACAAGTTGTGGTTAAAATGTTTAGGAAAATCTTATAGCCCCTGGAGTTAAAGGAATGACAGCACAGTGTCGGGGCAAATTCCTTAGAGATGTCATTATTTTGAGTTCCCCTTAATTTTCCTTTGGAGGGCTATGTATGAACCAAAAAACCAAAACACATACCGGTATATTTAATGGTCTATCTTAGAAGAAGACTGAGAGACTCTTTAAGATGTCAAGCACCAGTCCCCATTGCAGGCAGTGCTTAGGCTTTCAATCTGCTTTTATTATGATGCTTGTTCTTGGATGGATGGTGTTTTAACTGCTTCTGCTTTGCTTCACCAATGGCCATATTGATGTAGCTGACCAGGATGAGGCTAATAAATGGTTTATAAATCTGTAGGTTCATTCTCCCCAACTGTGACTGAATGGTCTGAAAATAACATAGCCTGTGACTTTGGTGTTTTGTAAACCTAAGAGGCACAGGTATGGGGGGGGGATGTATTATAGTGCCACCTTCTCTGAAGCTGAACCTTCCCCTTGCAGCTCCTGTTTTATGAGAGCACCGGAGAATGGCTTCTTTACACTCTGTGTTTCCTTAACAGAGCTTCTCCCGTATTTTCAGTAGCCAATGCTGCATGAATTGCTGGCGCTGGAGGTGGTTGCTTTGAAGGCTGCCGGAAGCAAGTCTGAGCATCTCTCTGTAGCCTTTCAAAATAGATACAGTAAAATAAACACCCCAATCTTAAATGCTTTTTGATGGCATCTCTAGCCACTGACAGTGTTTAACAAAGGATCATAAGAACAATGTGGATGGATTTTTTGGTTTTTTTTAATGAGCCAACTGTATTATTGTCTTACATTAAATGTTTCTAAAGAGACTTAGATTGTTGTCAAAAGTTTCTGACAATTACAAAACCACATAATGTGTTTCTGGTTTGTCTTCCACCCAATTTGGAAATAGTATCCTTTTAAAGCTATGGTTTTCATTTTGAAATGAAATGTCATGCTGAGGTACATAACCAATTCATAACTGTTTTGTTCCTACAAATCAAGCACATATATATATATAACATTCCCCCCCCCATGCACATCATAGGCAGGTTCACACTTGCAGTTGTGCACAATGGATATGGCTGGTCTCCTGTTGATACACTAAGTGGAACACACTCCCTCGGAGAGTAGTGGAGTCTCCTTCCTTGG